AAATTAAACACGGCTATGAATGACATGAATGATAGCATTAGTATATTGGTTGCTATCCTTGTAATCTTCTGCGTTTTTCGTTGGCTGTTAGGTGTGTTCTTAAATATAAAACCATTACTTTCGTAGTTTTAAATTATTAAATTCGAGATCTGGTTATAGGCTCAACACCTCAACAAGCAACGGGAAATCGTAGGAATATCACAACAAATGACATGCCAAGAGCTAGGCCAAGGCCAGTCACACCAGAAATGGCACGTTACTATTAAGTGTCGAGTTGGAATTTTACTTTAGCATCATTAACCTTGGATAGGATGATTTGTTACAGGTTGAAACGGTATGCGCTATGTTTCCCAACATCCCCCAAGCATCTATACAGTACGATCTTCAAAAGACAGGATCAGTTGAAGTTACCTGTGACAATATTCTTCAAAACGGTGGTTCATTGGTAGATTGATATATTTTTGTAAAAATAGATGACTTATTGTAATGTAGTCCTAATTATCGATTTAATTAAAGCCTCCTCCCCCAGTTGCAACATCATTCGCAATACCCTCGACATCCCAAGCATCATCTTCGTCAACATCGACCAGTGTAAATTCTTCTCTGACTCAACAATCACTAATTGATAGGTATAAGCTTCAGGAAGCTGTAAATAAGGGTCTTGTCCCATCAGATCCTCCAAAGAAATGGGAAACTACACCCGAAAGAAGACAGGAATTGTTGCAACAGAAAAAGGATGCAATGGTTCTACAGGCTAGAGAGTACGATACATTCTAGTTTTTTAATGAAGTAATTCTACAATTCTTATAAAACCTATAATTTTGTAGACGATATCTAGAACAACAACGAAAAAAAAAAGAGCTAGAAGCAAAAACAAGCTCATACGAATATTCTTCACTAACAGACTCAACACAATCATTAAATAACAATTCTCTCAAAACACAAACTATTCAAAATGTAGTCGAAGATGGTAAAGACCTCGAACCTGAGCTAAGGCGTCAGCAGATATTACAAGCGACCGAACGAAGGTGGAAGAAGGAGGTAGAAAATTAATTTGTTGAAACGAA